TTACAGCTGTTATTGAATTATGAAATACAGCTTTTTTACAGTTATTATAGTTGTGTGTAATAATAGCCAACGACTATTTGCGTATAGTGTACGTCAACCTGATTGCATGATTTGATTTTTATTATTTCATTTGTTAGTTCATTATATAGTCTGTACGTAGTGTACAGTATTTCACTGTAAATGTCATATTAATTATTAAGTGCCTCAATGACAATGAAAGTGCAAAAAATTAGTTTTTTTATATCCAATTTAATTTTACCTGTTTTTTCATACCTGTTTGACATTAACGGTAGTCGTATAGACACTAATATAGACACTAATTACTGTAGGTTTGCTTTCATGTAAAAGTAAATGTTCAATATTTTTGTGTGGACTGTGTTTACTGTACATTATTTGATAAAAAAATCGTTACTATATGTAGAATAAATATTTTTGTTTGAATATTCTGTTATTGCATTCAAATATACAAATAGATAACAAAATCATTGCAATTTATGGCATAAACAATGAATAGAGTGACTCATCCCTATCCCTATCCCTATCCCTCAACACTTTGACAACTATTTTCCTGTTAATTATTTATTAATCGAGTTTGTAATCAATTTTTTGTGACAAATAATAATTTGGCACATCTTTAGGGAGGAAGTGAGAGACCATTGCGTGAAATGGGAGACAAAGTATTCATTTACCTGCAAAATGAGTGCCAACGCCAGCACCGGTATACTCGAGTCGTGTGTCTTACGGGTGTCCGTCCGCAAAGTGAGTGTCCATTTGAGTGGTCAGTCGTGTATATTATACACTAATTGCTGTGTTTGTGGTGTAGGAGTCGAAAGGCGGCCGTTCGTACCACAAGTTGGGCTTCGCGGACATAAATTTGGCGGAGTTCGCGGGCGCCGGACTCATCACCAGGAGGTACCTGTTGGAGGGGTACGACACCAAACACCGGTCCGACAACAGCACACTCAACGTCTCCATCGAGATGACCCTACTGTCTGGCGACCCCTGTTTCAAAGCGTCAGTATCTTATCGCACGGCATATACTCTCTCTCTCTCTCCCTCCCTCTCACTCACACACTCATAGCCCCCGCACTTCCTGTGCGCCGACCTCTCAAGTGTTGACTCTAACTGATTGTGTGATTGCATTGCAGGCCATCATTCTATACCTCACTGTTCCAGACGAGCGACAAATCAAACGACCCTCAACTGCATTTGGATAGAAAAGGTGATGATTATAGCGCCGGTAGTGTCGCCAGTGGTGGCAGTTCCGGCTTCGGTAGTCTGCCCCGTAAACATCGGTCCTCTCTGTTAAGCTCAGGTGACTCAGGCCTTACCTCTCACTAAACTCACAACACTAACCCATAGGAGCGAATGAATGGCATTACCTAAACGCTACTAACAATTACTATAATTACAACTAATTTTACTCTTTTTTGTTTGCCTTTAAATTGTTAATTATAATTAAATATTAATGACTACACTAACCGTTAACATTAGTTACTAATCGTAAAAATATAATACATTTTTGTTTAATATTTATTTCGATATAAAAGAGGAGTTTATGTATTGAGAGACTTTGGGTTCAAAAAACTCATTACTTTGTAGGACTGGACTCTAACTCTACTTTTAGATATCATATATAATACATGCGTTTATTCTCTACCACTTCTAATCAATAACTTTGTTTATTTTTTAAAACCATTTCTCATCACTCCCGGTATCACTCACTGCCCTCTCCCTCCCATCCCCTCTACTTCTCATAGAAATAAAGTTCAAAAAACTTCATATAAACAGACAATTAATTAAATTTAGTTGAAAGTCGTCCCATAATAGTAGTCTCAATGAATGGAAATTCTTTACAAAGATATACACATTAACTGATTATTAAACAAAAAATGTTTGCATCGCTTTTGTGCGTTTGATTATCATATCTATTATAATAACAAACTTTTTTTGATATCATTGCGTAAATGTTTGTAAAATGTTTTTTGTGTTTATATTTTAAATGTTTTT